TTTGCCTTCTCATAATACATGAGTTCAAAATTAGGGACGTTTATGTGCAGATAACTCATCATGTAGCTTTGCGCGAACATTCTGTAATAAAATAAACAAATAAAAAAGCGAGTAAGTCAAGAAAATCATTATATATAAAACCACATATTGTGCATATCTAAACTTTAAAATAAAACTTTCTAAAATTGCTTTTATAAATTATTTTTGAAAATAAGTTTTACCACTTTGTTTTTGAGATAAGTCAATGAAATACATTAATAATTTCCACTCCACCCTCATTTTGCTAAAACATGGATAACATTTGTAATTTTTCCATGAATCAGAAATTTACCCAGTGCGTTAGACTTCATCATGCTTAATACTTCATTTTATTCATCTAAAGCCTCTTGCAATGTACAAGTAGTAAAGGATATTAACTTATCAGAAAGGATTCAGATGGAGGCTACTAGGACGACTCCGTGAATATAATGATTATCTTATAGGGATAGGTAAGGATCTCTTTAATTTATCTTTTCTTGACCAAAGAAAGATAAGAGGTGATATTATTGAAGTTTACAAAATTAACCGTCGGAGCTATAAGATAAAAAGCTTCTGATTTCTTTGTGCTGTATTCTGTAGACAAGAGGACGAACTTAATGATACAACTTTAAGATTTGGAAATGACATTCTGAGGCTATACTTCAATTAAGATAGTTGTATTTTTAACGAGAAGGTTGACTTGTGGTATAAGTTACATTCGACAGTTGTGGAGGCTGGCATTTTACAAGAATTTAAGAAAGGATCGATTATTTCTTGAAAAAATAAAGTATGGTTTAGATTTTTATTTTTCTTAAGACTACGTGTGTAAGGGAGCCTTGAAGGATCAAATGGCTCTTGTTGTCTATAAGTTATGCTAATAACTTTGAAAGGTAACGATAAAACCCTCAACATTTCCTTATTCAGCTTCAGTAGTCCACGTTTTAAGGTAAATTTCAACTGCATTAAAGCTAAGGAACGTTCTCTGTTGAAGTTTCTTAGGTTGTTCTAAAGAGAGAGGGAGGGAGAAAAAAGAGTGTTTGTTTTAGAGTAAAACCACATGGGGCTATCTGCTTTGTCCAACGTGGAGAATCGAATCCCGATTTTAGTGTTGTAAATCCATTAACTGTAAAAAGAAGAAGAAGGAAAGGAAAGTATGGTCATGTTTTTGTTGATCATTTGTTGCTTGCTTATGAGTAATATTACATGTAATAGTAATGCGTCATATATATATATAATCCAGTTTAATAATGACGTGAGCTCAGACCTTAGCAAACGGAATGGGAAAAGGAAATTTACATAAAAAAGTAAATAGAATTATAAATACATTGAGTGATATAATTCACTATATAAACCCTAATGATTGATTTTTTCGCAATTTTATTGTATATTAAAGCGTCTTGTGATATCAAATTAGTGAAATCAATATTCCGCCATATTTATAACAACTAGCATTTTTCAGTTACGTTTGTACGATTGATAAGTCATTGCCTGTCTGGTTCAGAGCAGAGATTTCGCAAGAGCTACAAAAAAGTAGTCTGGCACGATAGGGTGTGCTGTTTTCATGGAGCCGTCAGTTTGTAAACGAACGGGAAGGCCTAACGTTAGTACCATAAAAGCTATCGAAAGAGTGTATTACTTTACTATTCAGTTTCTGTATTAGTATTATATTGTAATTTGTGTATGATTGGCATCCTGGGAACAACAAACTTCTCTTAATGTAGTATCTATAGCGTAGAAGTTCCTTTGTTCTTTTCATAGCCGATGCATGGATGACCGCGAATAATGCCAAGTAGGTCACCTGGGCCACCCGGAAACTTCATAATCATTTCAGGTACGAGAAGCAAACACCATGTTTTCAAGTTCTTTTAACATAAGTTACACTGTAACTTACAGCTGCTTTGTTGTACTTTTTACAGCTAAGGACCACACCCTTGCGAAAAATCTTTCAAACTTTAATTAAAGTTTAAATTGTTCTATTTGCTTTGGTATTTGTTTAGTTAATTAAACATTTAAACTTAAGCTCTCGAATATTACTAGTAATAGTAATACTAGTGCATAATCAATTTAAAATTAGTGTACTCTGAGTAATACTAATACTATAATAGTGAAATGCTAATAGTATTAATACTGGGCATTTACTACTAGTACTACGATACAACAACTGTTACTAACAGTACTTTTATTACTATTACTGTTAGTATTACTAGTACCAGTAGTTGTTCAAGTGTTAGTGTTACTACTGAGATTCAAGTTGAACATTAATAAATTATAAATAACAAAAATCGTTAGAATTCAATTTAGTTTTTTGCTATAGAAAGTTTACTCTTTAATGCTTAATGATTAGTCTATTTTGAAATTTCCAACTTAACTTAGTGGCTAATAATTTTAATATTTTAAAAACAAGTCTTCCTAAATCAGGCTGGTTTTTCTTGTCGTGCAGAATCTTATCGTTGTATCACCATAATTAAATTTTAAGCTTATTAATATTATACAGTTCTTTAGTCTCATCATTCAAATCATCATAAAAAGGACACATTCTTTGCAATCACAAATTACTACTAGTACAATGTAATAAGTAATGTAATATAACAACCAATTTCCTATGTGAAATATTAAAGATTCAAATACAAAATCTGTCAAAGTCAAGTTGGTGTTTTAAGGTTTAAATTACCTGAAAAAAGAGTTTGTTCTGTAGCAAAATAAGGAATAGCAAACTTTGATGGTGGGATTTTTTAAAACAAAAGTTGAAATATGTATTTTCATATATTTGTTTTTAAAATTCTTATTAAAAAAGAATACATTATCTAGACTTCATGCTTTATTTCTATGTGTTAGTATACGGTGAAATTTTAATCATTAAATGTAATAGCTAAAATTTTAAAGTAAATCAATATTTTCATAATATCATTTCATTTATTAACTAGTTACTTAAAGAGTGGGAACAGAACTACTCAGTGAGATATCAGCATTATCCACAGTGTCAGTTAATACTATGCATTTACCTAAAGGATCAATGCTCTTTTCTGGTTTCTATAATATATTTTATAAAGGGTAATAATATACCTAGTAACTTGCATGCCAGTGCTTGTAAGTAAAGTGCCTTCTCTGAAACTTGCTGAAATAAAGTGATCTATAGTATGTAAACATTATATAAAATTGTACATTTAATGTTGAATTTTACAAAAAAAAATCCTATCAAGAACGTAATCCATGATACGTTTTCAATTCTTTAATTATAAGGCACTAGAAGATCTAGGAAGAGTGTTGTCTACTTTTAGTCTTTAAACCTTAGTAGTTTATTTTTTGGGCATTAGTATAAAATACTTGTTTGAGCTGGTATTTGGGGGTTTAAGCCCCAATCACAATCAATTGCTTTTTCACATATTTTGGATTGTTATAACTGGTGATCATGGGTGGAGGCAATATTAGCCTTTTGTAAGGTTTTGAATAATCTATGAAATTAATAGAAAAACAAATAAATAAATGTGAAGTATAGACCATGTATTCTGTACCTCCTGAGATCATACTACCAGATGATGAGATAAGAATATAATCTCTTATAGTTACATTGTGGAAGATCAATCTGCTCAGATCAAACAGAGTATACTGAAGGGGTTTATACATACATTCTTTGCAATTTGTAGGGGAGAGTATAAAATGAAGATTTGTCTACTTTGGGCTTAAAGCTAGCTGGATGTTGCTAGCTGTGAAGAGGATGCTGCTGATTTACAAAAGGATTTAGATCATTTACTGAGTTGGACAAATAAATGGCAGATGGGTTTTATTTATAATGCATGTGGGTTATCATAATTTGAATTATCAGTATAATTTGGATGGATATAACCTTAATAGTGTTATGAAGGAAAGTGATCTT